CAGTGCTCTTCGTTGAGAAGAAGGATAAATCTTTGAGAATGGTCGTTGATTATCATGCATTAAATGAAGTGACGATCAAGAACAAGTACCCACTGTCGATGATCAATGATTTGTTTGACCAGTTGCAAGGAGCTAAAGTATTTTCCAAGATCGATCTTCGATCAGGATACCACCAGCTGAAGATCCGAGAACAGGATATACCTAAGACAGCCTTCACCACAAGGTACGGGCTATATGAGTACACGATTATGTCATTTGGATTGACTAATGCCCCTGTCTATTTCATGAGTATGATGAATAAGGTGTTCATAGAGTTCTTGGATCATAATTCTAAGCTAAATGATCATAGTGCTAGGAACAATATAAGTCATGAAGAAAGCAATATAAGTCATAGTCATAGGAACAATATAAGTCATGAAGAAAGCAATAGCAATAAACTAAACGATCATAGTGCTAAGCTAACGGATGGGTCTAGTCCATCACATCATTCTCTAATGATGTGATCCCGTTCATCAAATGACAACACATGTCCATGGCTAGGAAACTTAACCATCTTTGATTAACGAGCTAGTCAAGTAGAGGCATACTAGGGACACTCTGTTTGTCTATGTATTCACACATGTACTAAGTTTCCGTTTAATACAATTCTAGCATGAATAATAAACATTTTATCATGATATAAGGAAATATAAATAACAACTTTATTATTGCCTCTAGGGCATATTTCCTTCAAGTATTCCATGTGTATTTGAGTTTTAGGAAATATGTATTGTCTTAAAAGGTTGAAATGCGGATCAATGAGTGGGGATCATTATGTGAACCACAACTCGAGAGACATATGCCTTGAGATTTTTGACCGTAAAAGGTATCTCCGTGAAAATCCTAGTGTGTCTATTGAAGAAAGAATGCCCTAGAGGCAATAATAAAGTTGTTATTTTATATTTCCTTATTCATATTAAAGGTTTATTATTCATGCTAGAATTGTATTGATCGAAAACCTAAATACATGTGTGAATACATAAACAAATACCGTGTCCCTAGTAAGCCTCTACTAGACTAGCTCGTTGATCGAAGATGGTGAAGGTTTCCTAACCATAGACATGTGTTGTCATTTGATAACGGAATCACATCATTAGGAGAATGATGTGATGGACGAGACCCATCTGTTAGCTTAGCATAATGATTGTCAGTTTTATTGCTATTGCTTTCTTCATGTCAAATACATATTCCTTCGACTATGAGATTATGCAACTCCCGGATACGGGAGGAATACCTTGTGTGCTATCAAACGTCACAACGTAACTGGGTGATCATAAAGATGCTCTACAGGTATCTCCGAAGGTGTTTGTTGAGTTGGCAAAGATCGAGATTAGGATTTGTCACTCCGAGTATCGGAGAGGTATCTCTGGGTCCTCTCGGTAATACACATCATAAGCTTGCAAGCAAATGACTAAGGAGTTAGTCACGAGGTGATGTATTACGGAACGAGTAAAGAGACTTGCCGGTAATGAGATTTAACTAGGTATGAAGATACCGACGATCGAATCTCGGGCAAGTAACATACTGATGGACAAAGGGAATTACATATGTTGTCATAACGGTTCGACCGATAAAGATCTCCGCAGAATGTGTAGGAGATAATATGGCATCTAGGTTCCGCTATTGGTTATTGACCGGAGAGGTGTCTCGGTCATGTCTACATAGTTCTTGAACCCGTAGGGTCCGCACGCTTAATGTTCGTTGACGATATAGTGTTATATGAGTTATATATTTTGGTGACCAAATGTTGTTTGGAGTCCCGGATGAGATCATGGACATGATGAGGAGTCTCGAAATGGTCGAGAGGTAAAGATTGATATATAGGATGATGGTATTTGGACACTGGAAGTGTTTCGGGACGTACCAGGAAGGAATCGGGTCACCGGAAGGGGTTTCGGGCACCCCCTGGCAAGTTATGGCCTTATGGGCCAAAGGAGGGGACAGACCAGCCCACAAGGGGGCTGGTGCACCCCCTCCCTCTTTTGGCCAGCCCTACGGAAGGAAAATGGGGAGGGTTAGCCCCTCCCGCCTTTCCCTCTCATGGGAGAAAGGAAGGGGGGCGCCATCCTCCCCGGCCTTTGCCCGCACTCCAAATAAGGAAAAGGGGGGTGCATGGACCCCAAGTAGGATTCCTCCTGCTTGGGCGCCTCCTTTGGCTGCTCCTCCCTCCCTCCCACCTATATATATGTGGGAAGGGGCGCCTAGCACAGAACAGGCAATTGCCTAGCCGTGTGCGTCGCCCCTCCACCGTTTACACCCCCGGTCATATTTTCGTAGTGCTTAGGAGAAGCCCTGCGGAGATCACTTCACCATCACCGTCATGCTGTCGAAACTCATCTACTTCCTCACCGTATTGCTAGATCAAGAAGGCAGAGAATATCACCGAGTTGAACGTGTGCAGAACGCGGAGGTGTCGTGCGTTCGATACTAGATCGGTTGGAGCGCGAAGAAAGTTCGACTACATCAACCACGTTGTTTAAGGCTTCCGCTTACAGTCTACGAGGGTACATAGATACACTCTCCCCCTCGCTGCTATGCATCTCCATGGATAGATCATTGCGTGTGCATAGAATTTTTTTTGTTTTCCATGCAACGATTCCCAACATCTATGTGCCCCACCGCTCCGACTGGCCTCCAAATTAGAGAGATGCCATGGAAAATCACAACCAATGGATGTTAATATTTGACTAATTAACATTAAACAAAAAAGACAAAGTGAAGGCATCTTGTACAATTTAACAAAGGGAGGAAACCTCCATTTTGTCTCTGTCTTTCCTCCCACTAAAAATAGTCATATGCATGACTCAAGAATCAATTCAAGAACATTCTCAAACAGTTACATTTGGAACATGGGATTCTCATTTCATTATATTTGGGTAAAGTTCCCATGGGAATTTGAGAGGTGATCAATATATGGTAAAAGTTTCCCAAATGGATCATCTCAAGGAATGGCCAAGACTTTATCATGACAACTCCAAACATCCCACCCCTCCCCACCCATTCTTTCACCTCTCCCCACACAAAGGCATCTAGGGTTTGAAACTCCTTCAGCAAGACCGACGACCCCTCTGTCTTCGGCCACTATCTAGGTGCAAGGGACGAAAGAGAACTTGATTCTTCATTCGATGTGTGATCTCTTTTCATGTAGGTCTTTGTTTGTGTGTCCCAGCGGTGAATGTTGAGGAGGTGAAGACCTAATGACTATGGAATAAGTTCCTCCAGCCTCCTCCATGTCCTAATGGTGTTCCTCCAACAACGGGGGTGGTCTTGTGAGTGTGTTGTCCCCAGGAAGTGTGCAACCATACCCTTTGGTGGCGTGAAGGCAAGATGATGACAACCAAATTAAGGATGCCTAATGTTGGGTTCGGTTGAGCGTCAAGATGGTATTGGAGTGACTCCTCACTTTCTAAACTATGCGTCTAGGAATGATGGTAACAAATACACCAAATTTTACGTAGGTTCAGGCTCTCCAAGGATATAATACCCTCTGCCTCCTTGTGTTTGTTGCAATGGGGTAAATATAGAGTACATGTGATCTACCACGAGATTGTATGATGTCTAATGTGTTCTATCGCCTAGCCTAGCCTTGGCTTATATAAGGTACCAAACACTAGGAATACAAGAGTTCTAGCAGGCTATGTTGGTGGAGGAGAGTCCTCAATGTATATGGAGTCCTCGTCTTGAACGACATGTCTTCTTCATTTTCATTGTAGATCGCCACGAGCCGCCAAAGTTGCCTAGGACGGAATCAACAAGGGGTTCCTCAGCCCGGCCCATCAGGCTGGGAGTCGACATGGTGAGAGGCCCCCTAGCCGGGACACTTTAAGCGAGGCTGCCGCTAGGGCGCACATGAGCACGTTGGCTGCTGCTTTGACATCAGTTGCCGCTGCCACTCGAGAGGAGCTCGCGACATCGGAAATGTTCATGACATCATCGGAGGCGCGATGAGTGAGGGCGAAGCAGGCTAACAACAAGTTGTGGAACAACCCATTCTTTACCCTGAGAATGAAGACTACTTCCAAGCTCTTAGCAAAGAGAGAAAACACTATGAAGGGGCGATCAAGGATCTAGCGGCTGCCATGCGTAAGTTGCCAATGTAAACTCAAGACTTTTTATTAAGTAATGTAGATTTTCTTAATATAGGCAGTAGCCCTCGGGTTGTAGGCTAGTTTTGTGATATGAGCTGCAATGCTTGTTTTTCTTCTTCTTTTGAACTGTTCTTCTAATAGGCCCAGATACGTCTCAAATGTATTGATAATTTTTATGATTCATGCTATATTGCTTTCACTTACATACACCTTGGGGCATATTTTTATTGAACCTTATTGGACTAACATATTAATCTAGTGCCTAGTGCCAATTCATGTTTTAATAGGAAAATCCTCAAAAAAGTCTGAGCAAAAATAAAATAAGAATGGTTCAAAAAGTTTCAAGTCACCAGAAGACTCAAGAGCTAGGGTCCTGCAGCAGTGGGTCACCCGAGTGCCTAGGTACCCTAGGACTAGGGGGTCTTAGGGGGGCACCTATAGCCTTGTGCCCCATTTGGCTTTCCTCCGATGCCCAATGGTCTATTTATATCCACTACAAAGCGAGGTTTTTGTGATGGTTCATTGTGTCACATAAAACCGGGTTTCGTCATCGAAAATGGCCTGGTACGGTTTTCGGTCGTCACCGAAGCGTCGTAACAAAAAATAAAATCTTCACAATACCACTTTTTCTGTCACCTAAGATCGTGTCTTAGGTGACGGACCTGATTGTGTCACGAATGGCCATTTTCGGTGGTGACCCAAACTGTCACCTATGATACACCGGTTTGCCATCTAAGGTTATTTTTGGCGACGACAATCTGTCACCAGTAATAGGTTCATCGGTTTGGCCGGTAAAAGATTCTCACAAATGGTCCCAATAGATGCTGACGTGGCTGCTTCCATGTGGGTCCAGATGTGGTTTCATCACTGACGATGGCCTCAGTAATAAGTTGGGCACCAGTTTTGACGGGTCAATGGTACCGACATATGGGCCCGGAAGATGCTGACGTGATTGTTTACATGTGGGACCACACAAGGGTGACGACCTGCATTTCTGTCACAATTACCGTCCAGGTAGAAAAAAAGCTACAATTTATATATTATGACATTTTTCTGCCAACTTTGAATTTAATTTGAAAATGTAGGGAAAAATAGATTCAATTTTTAAATCCCTGGAATATGAGAATTCAAACATTGCCAATAGATTTTTCATTAACTCTGAAACCTGACAATTACAATGAGAACTATGAACATAGTATCGAACACTGTAAAGAAGACAAAGAAAAATTATGTTGATGATTCTTTATCAGGTAACCAAGCATTCCATCCATATGTTTTTGCCTTTTTCCAAAGACAATGGTTTTCTTGTGCTGATCCATTTGACAACTTCAATCTATAGTAGCTGCTTTCTTGGGAGTAAGGCGTTTTGGCGCCCGGGCACCATGTAGCTCGGAATCTGGGACTTCCGCTAGAGCGTTGAGATGCATATTGGCTGGCAATACGAAAGGAATACGTCCATTTACAGCGGTGCCGTTGCACTTTATACGCCTGGGATGCATGTGCCCGCGGACAGAAACGGCTTCGTGGATCGTGATGGCCCGTGTTAAGTTGATAACAACTGTCAAGCGTGTAGCCTCTCTCTGATTCCTTTTGCGGTCACCTCCCTCTCTCTCGTCATTACTGGACGTTGCTGAAACCAGCGCTAACGAACATGAGATCCGGACACGTTTGGTGTTTGACCATTTGAGCTCCAGCGGCAGTGGCCTCGCATAATTCTCCGTCGATCTATTGTGTATGGTTGTCGATTTTGTCCAAATTGTATGTTTTCATGATCACCAGATCTAAGCACCTGTTTATATTTTCGTTTATGGTTTCTCCCATCTGAAAGCATTTGCTCTCACCGGCAAAAAAAAAAAAGAAAAGAAAAAAAAAGAAAGCATTTGCTCTCACTTCACGTATGTGTTCAACCAATTTTGTTCAGCCAAATTTTCTTGCCAATGCAATCGTTCATGGCCATCTTGTGTAAGTCGTCACCATTTTTTTTATCAAGTGGAATTTTCTCTTCCGGGAAAAAAATATTTCGTTATTGAATCAAGGGGTTACAATCATCATGAATGATAATGTTGATCTTCTGGGAAGCATTCCCTAGCCAAATCCTTGATCATGTTGTGGCTTCGTACATATGATATCCGTAAGTGATTTTTGGGTAATTTAAAAAGCAAAAAAATATGTATTTGTGCACAATAATGTAACTCTCTTATACCGTGAGACCGGGGAAATTAGTAAACATCGTGTGAGATATTATTGTGCATCTCTTGATGAATCATTAGTTGTACACGGAAGAACTTCTGTCCATGACATAAACTTAATCATCATCTGCAATTACTATTATAGAATATTTTGTAATCCAGTATAATCTTGTTCTCGCCGCAAAAAATGTACAACCTTCTTGATTCTGCAAATCTGTTTTGGTGACGGGCACGAGATACTTTTGTCCACTTTGCAATGATATTTAGTGCTAAATCCTAATTACGCTTGTCCTAATACGCTGATTGTTAATCAGTACTAAGTTAACACATGTTTTGATACATGCCCCCTGCAGCAATCGTACCAAACAAACAGAAACTGCAATGAATAGGCTGGGCCACGATCTGACAGCAATATCCGAAAATACAGTACTTCCGGGAATTAATTGACCGTCTACATGCTTGGAATACACAGGAGAAACAGATCACGAGGGAACTAAGCGCTCAGGATATCGAGCTACATGGTGCTCGGGCACCAAAGTGCATTTTTGCTTTCTTGGGGTCTTCAATTTTTTATATTTGGGCAGAAGGCACACTACATGCAGGTCTTGCTCAAACCTACCACTTTTCTTTTTACGTGTGCCTCCTGAGTTGTAATGATGTGTCTGGCTCATGGATACATTCATGAGAATGAATTCTTCCTAGAGGCGGATGGGATGGAATGCTCCAAAGTAACATGCTTGATGAGCTCTTTTTCTCGATAATCTGTACATCAGGAATTCCTGTCCCATCGTGTAGTTATGGTACTGTTTTTTCGGTCCTAGTTTTATTCTAATACCGAAAAAGGCTTTCGCCCCGTTTTATAAATAAAGCAAACCGCCAAGAACACACATACACGAACTAGTTCAGAACACACACATCCAGGACACATTCAGGTCACACAACAAGGAGTACAAAGGTTCTGCTGAGGGCATAACTCAACAAGCCCCAAAAAAATATAAAAAGGAAAGGCGGCCGCAGCCAGCGACGATTGATAGTACTGTTAGCGCAGATTTGATAGTTTGAATAGTCATGATCAAACTGTACATTTAAAGTCTTCTTTTTCAGTGTGTGTACATTCAAACAAGTTACTAGCGGATTGTTTCTCAATGTTGTCCTTAGCCTTACATCAAATTTATCAACCGGTAAATAATAATACTGCAAGCTATCCAATAATCCTACATAAAGCATTTGTTAAAATAAACTTATCATATTTTTACAGTGAGAATCACATCTTATACGTCCGATTTTTTGGTTTAGCTTCACAACAGCCGAGCTTGCAAAACTCTCTCTCCTGCCAGGCAAGGGATGACGACGACCGGTCAAGCAGCACCGGAGTCGCACAACCGAGCGGCTTGCTGAACCTACCCGCGATCCAACGGCTCGTACAGGCCGAAGAATAGCCGAATCGAAAACCTTCCTCCCGTCTCCGGCCCTCCCCAAATCCCCCCGTCTCGACGCCCTCGGCCCTCCCCATTTTCCCAACTCAAACGCCGCCGAAAGCCGAGATACCGAAACCCAAACACAGAGGCGCGCAAACACGCGGAGGAGAGAAGGCGCCTCCTCCCCCCACGCCGCGATGGACATCTCGGCCGGCGGCGGCGGCAACTCGCTGCCCACCACCGGCGCGGACGGCTCGAAGCGCCGCGTCTGCTACTTCTACGACGCGGAGGTGGGCAACTACTACTACGGGCAGGGCCACCCGATGAAGCCGCACCGCATCCGCATGACCCACGCCCTGCTCGCCCACTACGGCCTCCTCGACGAGATGCAGGTGCTCAAGCCGCACCCCGCCCGCGACCGCGACCTCTGCCGCTTCCACGCCGACGACTACGTCTCCTTCCTCCGCTCCGTCACCCCGGAGACGCAGCAGGACCAGATCCGCGCCCTCAAGCGCTTCAACGTCGGCGAGGACTGCCCCGTCTTCGACGGCCTCTACAGCTTCTGCCAGACCTACGCCGGCGGCTCCGTCGGGGGCGCCGTCAAGCTCAACCACGGCCACGACATCGCCATCAACTGGGCCGGCGGCCTCCACCACGCCAAGAAGTGCGAGGCCTCCGGCTTCTGCTACGTCAACGACATCGTCCTCGCCATCCTCGAGCTCCTCAAATACCACCAGGTATGTGCCCTGCCTTCTTATGTAATCTATCACCCTTGTTCCCCTCAATTTTGCAAAATCATGTTATCTTAACATGTTAATCAATAATTCGTGTTTACAGCGTGTTCTGTATGTCGATATCGATATTCACCATGGGGACGGCGTGGAGGAGGCGTTTTACACCACGGACAGGGTGATGACTGTCTCATTCCACAAGTTTGGGGATTATTTCCCAGGGACAGGAGACATTCGTGACGTTGGGCACTCCAAGGGGAAGTATTATTCCCTGAATGTCCCGTTGGATGACGGCATCGACGACGAGAGCTATCAATCGTTGTTCAAGCCGATCATGGGTAAAGTTATGGAGATTTTCCGCCCCGGCGCGGTGGTACTCCAGTGTGGAGCAGATTCCTTATCCGGTGACAGGTTGGGCTGCTTCAACCTATCCATTAAGGGGCACGCAGAGTGCGTGAGATTCATGAGGTCCTTCAATGTTCCGGTGTTGCTGCTTGGTGGTGGTGGTTATACCATAAGAAATGTTGCACGATGTTGGTGCTATGAGGTATATAAAAGGGAATTTTCATCTAAAACCATATATTTGTAGAGCTTCTGTTGTGCATTATTCTACCTATTCCAGTGTTTTTTCTCTCTCACTAGTTGCGTTTAGAATAGTGCTATGAGGTATATAAAAGGGAATTTTCATCTAAAACCATATATTTGTAGAGCTTCTGTTGTGCATTATTCTACCTATTCCAGTGTTTTTTTTCTCTCACTAGTTGCGTTTAGAATATCTGCTTGTGTGAAATAAAAAATATATTCTGTAGCACTAGCACCTAGCCATGTATATGATCTATCATAGACACACCGGCTTGCCAAAGTGGCTTAACATTTATGAGTAGTTCTGTGAAAATCATTTTATACAAACTTCTCGAGTTCTCATCTACATATGCTACTAGTGCTCCAAAGCAATGGGAGAAAATCCTAAAAGTCATAAACAAATCATGAAAAAATGGAGTGGATGTGAATTGGCACCGTGTGTATCTACCATGACACACAGTTTCAAATGGAAATTCACCGTGTGTGTATCTACCATGACATACAATTTCAAATGGGAATTCTACACATATATTCACTGTTGTTATGCTAAGAAATGTATTATGTCGCTCCACATAATCAGATCCATAAAGCTTCTGTACAGTACATATATGTTGATGATGTAGGTCTTTGTTGTGGAGGCAGGTACGCATATTGTGTTTTCTGGCTTGTGGAAATACAAAACTATCAACTTAATGGGTTTTACCCTTTGTATAAACTCATAAAGCTTTCCATCATGTTTTCGTCTCAAGAAATGATAGGTCATAGCTAGCAAGAATTGTCCATCTTGTCACCACAACACCCTCATCCTGAACTAATAATATTTATTGGCTTTGCATACCTTCTTTTCGTAGGACAAGTACCCATGCTCCACACATATATAGGTTGTATTTGTACTAGCATCTGTTTGTGTAAAATAAGAAAGTTATTCTAGCATCCTCCATAGCACCAACAGTATGCGTACCATGCACGCGATTCAACACGGGCACACTGGCTTGGCAAAATGTCTCGACATTCATGATCATCTATGTGAAAAATGTCATGTTACACAAACCTACTTCTCTTGTACATATGCTACTAGTGCAAGAAAGTATGTCGCCATTTTGTTAATATGCAAATGTCCGTAACAACCGTTGTTATGCTAAGAAATGTCTTATGCCTCTTCATGTACATATCATCGTATCCACAAAGCTTTCTTTCAGTACATATGTTACATATGTGTATATGATGTATGTCTCTGATTCTTTGAAAAGGGAAAGCTATAAGCTTGTCTGTTTTACACCTATACTTTTTTGAAAGTGGCTGTTGGGAATAATGGTATTTCGTGGAGAGGTTTTGGTCTTTATGTCAAATTTGAACTAAATTGTGAAACTTTAGCAAAAACAATACTACTCTTCCTAACATGGCCTAAAGCATTCGGTCACATTTCAGTCTCAAGAATTGTTAGGACATACTACTGCTTCCATCTGCCTAAAGCACACACTGTCCGATTTGTGGTTACACCACCCTGTTCCTACATGTAATGGCGTTTCTTGGTTTCGGATCACACCTTCGTTTTGCAGAACACATTTTTGATTGGTAGGTTTGCAGCCATACCTTGCCAAATGTTAGGCAGACAAGTTCGGCAAGTGTTTGGTTGCAGCCAGTCAGCCACAGTTATGGCGTTCCACACTTTCATAGCCTTTTATTGCACCTGTTGGTTTTCATAGACATATTTGATAACCAACTTTTGCCACTAGTGTGGTGATCAGTTTGGCCGCCTCTAAAATTGTGGATTGCAACACTTGGGGCACATAAGTGTGGTAGTGTGCCAGTGTGGAAGGCAACTAAACATGCCTTGAACTGTGTGCTACAGTGGCTCTGTCCTTGTTTCGGTTCCTCAACATGCTGCCATATAAAATCTGCTTTTCATATTTTTAAATGTAAATCATGCTATTTCAAATACTTAAAATCACATCATTTTAAAATTGTAAAATGTACTGCATAGTGCAAAGTTGAATAGTTTCTGCGATAGGTTCTTTTTATGTTGCCAGGGAGCCACGATAGTTTTGTCCTAAAATAATAAAACATTAATTGCTACTACTTTCTCAAGTTTCGTAGACTACAGGTGGTAGAGCCGGAGATTTAGGATGCCAGTGGCCAGATATACTATACAACCACTGACAGGGCTTGATAGGATTAACACAAACAAAATTCATTTATATCAATAGTATATGAATAATAGAAATAAGGTACAGGCCATGCATTTTTGGATGAAACAGTGTAAAAATGTTGGTTCAAATCATGAAACTCTGTAGAATCTAGAGTATATGCCATGCACAACCACCAGACTGTATTTACCGTCTTGTATTGGTTTAGTTATTCCTGATTTTAAAAAATGCTTGCAATGTCATTTTTTACACCAGTACTACCACGGCACTTAATTTTGGATCGGAGGGAGTACTATTTTTATTTACTGTTCAATAACGCTTATTTCTTTAAAGATGAACTCCTTCCGTTTTTACTTATCTGTCTATGTACATTTGATTATTTATTAGGAAAATTATAAATATACGACTTATGATGAACAGAGATGTATTTAAATGTTTGGGGGTTCTATTGCCTTTTCTACATATATGCTAATTCAGTTGTCACCAACTTACTTACTGATGTTCCTTTTTTGCCCTTTGGTTGAGCAGACGGGAGTTGCACTTGGTCATGAGCTAACTGACAAGATGCCGCTAAATGAGTATTATGAGTATTTTGGCCCAGATTATACTCTTCATGTTGCACCAAGTAATATGGAGAACAAAAACACACACCGGCATTTGGATGAAATAAGATCAAGACTTCTCGAAAATCTTACAAAACTCCGGCATGCTCCTAGTGTGCAGTTTCAAGAGCGACCTCCTGAGGCCGAGCAACCAGAGGTGATCTTTCGAGTAACTAATTTATTTTTTCTGGCGTACATCAGATACAATAGTAATGGCTTCCACACCCTTGATCTAGGACGACACTCTGACAATGCAACCATTTGTGTTGAGAGTGAATGTTGACTTTTGTTCCGCTTAAGTGCTAATTATCCTACTGGAAACTGCAAGGGGCACAGATGTGAAATTTCTATAAATATAAGGGAAAACACCATTTTAACCCCTTCAAACTATTGGGTAGGCTCACCTAACCCACAGAACTAGTTTTTGTCCCACTTCCACTTAACTCCCTAAACATCTTATTCCAGATCACTTCGCCCGGCGGTGGTTTTCATGTGCGGTATAACATGGAAGACATATACCTGGTTTTGCATGCGTGGAAGCTACCTCACCTTCTCCCTCCTTAACACACTCTCTCCACCCATCAATTTCTGCCTGTGATGTCTTGCCCTGCTTTGCCGTGTGGCTGTTGTGCCCCAAGCCCGTTGGTCACCTCTTCCCAGTTGCGCCACATAGTCCTTTTGTCGTGTTGGCTCCTTCCCCTTGAGAGCCTGCGTTCATACACGCCGGTGACGTGCAGAACAGATCCAAAGGGGCCTAATTAGTACACTCAAATGGCATGGAAATAATTCATTCAAATAACCATATCCCAACTCGAGCTGTCCAATCAATCATTACTCAAGAAAAGTAATTATTTTCGGAAGACAGTTTATGAACGAGTCAGTGGAAGGAAATGCATCCCCGTAAACATGAGCTTTGTTTGGGATCCCTGCAAGGTGTATCAGACACGCACCCACCAAATCACATACAAAATTAAGAACCATATAGGAAGCATGTGCCCTCCAACAGAGTGGTGACGCAGCAAAGCGAAACAAGATAGTGGTAACACTCAGGCAACGGCGAGTTGTGGGTACTGGTAGTGGCTCAGGATGTGGTGTCGTGAGGGTGGTCTAGTGACAGTTGTGTCCAGGTGCTTGGATGCGGCATGCGGCAAGCTACAAAGACAATAGCCACAAAAGTGCTGTGTGGGAGAAGGGGTTTTGGATGCTGCAAAGGATGAGGAAATTGGGAGTGGGATTCGTATGGGGAGAGGAGGAAAAGGTGGAGGAAGATGAATATGAGACGTAAGCCACGTGGACACAATTTAGTGACGTGGTAGCCCATGCGGCCATACCACCATTTATGTTCTCAGAACCACCTTCCAGAACTGCTCTAGGGGACTAATTGGTCCACCACCAGTCACCAATAGTCTAGGAGCCTAGGTTCGGCAATAAATAGTTTTGACCTTCGCGAATAATTTGAGGCGGTAAAGTAGACTTCTTTTTCTAAATATAAGTATAGGAATTAACAAAAGCTAGTAGATGGCCTTTCTCGGTTCGAAAATGGTCAAATTACCATTTGGACGCCAATCCTTGCCCTCGTGCATTCGCAGTCTGCCCTGCATGAACACTGAAAGTAGGGATTTGCAGATCGTCCTTGTCTACTTCTTCATCTTGCTGTGCATATTATGTCTTTGGTCCATTTTTTTCTTTCTGGAAATAGTAAGTTTGTGCCCATTTGATTAATTTATTTTAGAAAGTTCTTTGCTCATTTCATGCAGCCAACTCATGCTTTTAGGTGTTATTAGTATGAACATCATTTACGTAGTTGTTCTTTTGTTAAGATTGACCATCTTTGAAGTAATTGCCAGGTATACTGCTGCAAATTATATCTGTAATGTTTAAATCAACTTATAAAACTTGCCAAGTTGGATATATCTTGTCAGATATTTATAATTTTATATTACTGTTTTTCTTCTGTTCATTTGTTGGGTTGGGCTAAGACCAATGGGTTCATTTCTAGGGACTATTGTATTTGTCTTGCTACCATGGGACCATGTTGACTTGAGGTTGAGCTACGTGCCATCGTGATGATACCTATATTTTGGTATTAGCTCTAAATGTGATCATTAATGCTCATTGACTATAGTTGTAGTTTTGGAAGCAGCATGGCTAGCAGTCATTATATATTGGCTAAATTGCATTTGTGTTGGGTACAGCAAGATGAGGATCAAGAGAATCCTGATGAAAGGCATCATGCTGACTCTGATGTGGAAATGGATGATGCCAAGCCTCTGGAGGACTCTGAAAGGTGTTCTTTTTATTTGGTTCCTTGTCTTTCAGGTGATCATTTATAGCAATACCATTGGTTCTGATGCATGCCATTTTCTCCTGTAGGAGAACCAGTACTCAGGGTGCGAGAGTTAAGAGAGAATCTGCTGAAACTGAGGTGACAACAGATCAGGTACTTCACTTTTATTTTAACTCGTATACTGATTCAGTAATATATGCATAAAATTACGATTGCTTTGGTATATAATGCATTCTTGCAGACATCTAAGCAGCAATACTTATTGTATACAATTGCATGCTGCTATTTATCCTTTTTATTTTAACCGGCAAACAGTTGGAGAGGTTGAGAAGCTCCTACTGCATTAGACTGATAAATAAGTAGGAAGAGTTTATGTACAAGTTACTGTATATCTTTTGCAGAATGGCAATATATTATGCCTTTTACCAGAAACATGTTATATAGTCGGCGTCTGTAAAATACATCCATGGAGAGTTGATGCATTGTCCAACATTTGGAATTTTAATCATGGTTGCTTAGGCACTTCTGAATCTTAAGAAGCTATTGTCCAATATGTCAATCTAAGCATTAGTAATTCAAATACTTTAAGTGAATTAAAACCCTATAATATTGTGATTATATATTGCTCACAGTATTTACTCATGTTAGTGTTCTATGTAAAAGTGTTAGTAACGAAAATCATATTTGTAAGGCTGTATTAGAGTGGAAAAAAGAACTTGACCACCAGGACTAGCCCTTGGTGGCATTCTTTAAAGTACATTTTGCCCTTTTCCAGAAACATGTTTATAGTTGGCACTATAAAAGACATCCAAAGAGAGTCGATGCATTGTCCAAATGTCCAGCATTTGGAATTTTAATCTTGGTTACCTTGGCATTTCTGAATCTTAGGAAGTTATGTGTCTAATATGTCAAATTAAAATTGTTAACTAGAAATCTAGAATAGTATAAGTGAATTAAAACGCTATAATGTTGTGACTATATTGCTTACAGTGTTTAGTTATGTTAGCGTTCTATGGAAAACCGTTATTAATGCAAATCCATATTTGTAAGGCTGATTAGAGTGCCAATTTTTTTTCTGACAACCAAGACTAGTCCTTGGTGGCACTTTTTAAAGAAGGAAGGTGATTACCCAGCAATGTGGGAGGCTGAGCCTCAAACACAGGTGGGTGGGCTGCGCTAACAGAGGCTCGATCTCGCTGTATTAGAGTGGCATGTACTTTAGGGTTTTGGGCTTGTGGGTTTTGATCTTAGGTTTAATTTTGAAGATGTTTTGCTTCAGCACTAAGGTGCCTTTGGATGGTAGGCTGCAGCCCTTGCCTTAGCCATTTGGCATATGGCGGTCACAGGGAAGTGTCCATCCCTGCCGCCACCTGGTTATTGCCACATTGGGCTGCTCC